TGCAGCTGGCACCAGCGAACGTAAATCTTCTAAAAACACCAACATGACAAGGCGCTCGCCCAATTGGATGACATAAGTTATAAGCCAAATGTAGCTGTGTTGATTGTGTGGAGGTAATCAGGCCGACTGCTGTTTACTACACTACACTGTAAAGGCGGGCTCAACAGGCAGCTATGGCAAGTGAGATCATAGCCTCAGCTACTGACCACGACACAAATAATGGGATCGGAGAGGATCCCGCAGCTCAGAGAAGAATACTGACGCCAGCAAGTCTTACAGTAAAGACCCAAATGAGGCACAGAGGGAGATGGAGATAAGAGGGAGAGATGGCAGAAGGGTGGGATAAGCAGCAGAAATGATCTCTCTCTCTCCTTCCTCACAGTCTATATTTAGTTCGCTCACACACTTCATCTCTAAGATCTCGGTCTTTTACTCATGCGCCACGGCCTGCCAAACATCTACATCCCATGGAAAGCTTTGACTACAGATGAGACTCCCAACCAATCCCTCTCCTTTATCCACATTCTGTGGGTGTGGCTCAGATTTATGTTCACATCGTAGTCGTCCTATCCATTGCTCGGGGGGGGGGGGCTTGCCGGTGTTTTACAGGGATTTTATTAGAGGGGGAAAATGATGAGAAGAGAAGAAAGCAAAGCTGCCTTTCGTACATCTACACTATTGGATGTAAATCCTTTTTAATGGGATCCAGGGTTCAGAGCTGGGGCAGAGATTACCAAGGGAGATCTGGATCTGGCGTGGCCTGCATTTGTCCTGGCCCCGTCCTCTGCCGCACTGCGGCCTGCCGGGGCAAACACAGGTCACGCCAGATCCAGGGTGGGGCCCGGGTGAGACAGGTGGAGGAATGGGTGTGACAAAAACAGGGCAGAGAAGTTAAAATACACCTTATTAACGGATATCCATGTCATTGTGTTTTTAGGTCAAACATTGGATCATTACATAGTGGAAAACACTGACTGCACTCTTTTCACAGCCTTTTTTTAAAGCCCACCCCACTCAAAAATATGTTTTATTTCTTGTTCCTACAGTTGGATGTTTAATCTTCCAATCTTGTGCAGAGTTCAACTGCTGAAAGTGGAAAGTTTACAAATAGTTTGGAGCTCAATCCTGGTCCAGTATGCAACTTGTACAAGTACGATATAGAAACTTGAAGCCACCAGTGCACATGTACTGAGAATGGACTTTACAGTGAAGGAGGAGACATCTTGTCTTATTATTATTATTACATTATTGTTCCAAGCACACTATTTGTACACATGTCTGGAGGGAATCTTAAAATGTCAATAGATTTTATGTCAATTTAATGACATGGAAACAGCAGTCATTTAAGAAAAGGTCTGGTGTTATTTTTCTTACTGTCAATCACGTTAAAATCAGCAATGTGTTAGTCTGTCTCTTAATATCTTTATATGTATTGTATATGGTTCTTAAATTGTTTAGTAATGTCCTAAAACAGCTGGGCACTGTAGTTTTTAGCAAACATTAATCAAACAGTAAATAATGCATTTGTTGGGGACTATTTTAATCCATGGAGGAATACACATTTGATGCTTTAGTGTATATTTATTGAAACAGGACGCTGCATGTGGGATTTACTCAAAATAAACTACACTGCTCGTGTTTATTGTAATGAAGCAACCTGACCTGAGCTCTGTGGCACAGACAAAACTTGTTAGTCAGATCAATTCATGTTGGTTTTGGTCTTTCTATGGGATTTTTGACAATTAAAAAAATAGAAATAATTGCTGCTG